AAACTGCAGCTTAAACGGAAAGACGGCTTCTGGTATACGGTTCCCAGTTGTACGTTCCGGATGTGCTTGACTTGCGAAAGGACATCATCCACGAAAATCACGATGTTCCTTACGCTGGCCACCGCGGCATTGACCGCACCAAAAAAGCGATCGCGAAACATTTTTGGTGGCCCGGGTTGGATACTAACGTGAAGGCCTACGTTAGTACCTGCCCTTCTTGTCAGCGCAATAAGGCTTCAAATCAAAAGCCAGGCGGACTGCTGCAGCCCCTTCCCATTCCAGATAACGTTTGGGATAGTGTGTCAATGGATTTGGTCACACAGCTACCCACAACCCGCAATGGGCATGACGCGATCGTAGTGTTCGTGGACCGCCTGAGCAAGATGACGCACTTCGCTCCCACAACCACATCCGTCGGTGCGGAAGATCTAGCCCGCCTCTTTGTGGCTACGGTTTTCAAACAGCACGGCCTTCCACAGAATATTGTGTCTGACCGGGACACACACTTCACAAGCAACTTTTGGAAGGAAACATTTCGCCTGCTAGGCACCCACCTCTAGATGAGCACAGCCTACCATCCGCAGACTGATGGTCAAACCGAGCGAATGAATCGCTTACTGGAAGAGACACTGAGGCACTATATTTCGCCCACTCAGGATGATTGGGACGAACACCTGCCACTCATCGAGTTTGCTATTAATAACTCGAGGCAGAGCTCAACGGGTGCCACCCCGTTTAGCCTTAATGGTATCAAGCAGCCACGTGTGCCGGTTGACTTGCACCTAAAAACCAAAGTGCCTGCCGCTGACCTCTATCCCAAGGTCATGCGCAAACGTATTGAAAACGCAAAACAGTGTCTTAAGGCTGCTCAATCCCGCCAGTGCATTGTCGTCGACAAGCATCGGCGTGCGGTGCGTTTTGAGGTTGGGGACTCCGTGCTGCTCAGCACCCGCAACATCCAGTTGAAATCTCCTGGAGCAAAGAAATTATTGCCTAAGTTTATTGGGCCATATAAGGTTGTCGCCCGAGTGGGAGAGAACGCGGTAAAATTGGGATTACCCGCGACTTCCCGACTCCATCCGGTCTTCCACGTATCCTTGCTCAAACCATTCAAGGACGATGGAACACGACAACCGCCGCCCCCGTTCATAATTGACGAAGAGCCATATTACATGGTTGAGGCACTACTTGACCATCGTGATGTGAAAATCCGAGGTGGAACCGGCAAAACACGTCGAGAATATCTGGTTAAATGGGAAGGCTATGACTCCAGTCATAACACCTATGAACCGGAAGATTCCCTGCGTCAGTCCGTTCCCTTGGCCGAAGCTATTGACGACTATGAACGACGGTTGGCGGCAAAGTCCGGGCAACCTACACAAAAAAGGAAAGTGGTCCTGACCACCGCCCCTTCGGTAGCACCCCGGAACATTACCCCAGAACAACCAAAACGGAAAGCACCTGCTCGCAAGAAAAGGTGACGCTCCCGGGACGGTTCGCTTCTGAGGGGGAGGGATGTAGCAAGCTACATTTACCTTAGAATATCTTTAAGCTATTAAAGCTTAATCACAGTAACGGTACGGTCCCGTATTTACGAACCATACTCGTTAACGGTACGAACTCACTTTCTGGTACGCTATCACAACCTAGCGTACGACACCAAGACTCCAGGAATGGAGATGGCGGCAGGTGGGCCGCATTTAAGCCACCCAGGTGAAGTGCTTCGGCCAGACACTTAACGTATCACTATACTAGTGTTCAGGGTTCAAGACCTTGCTGTCACCGTTCTCGACGTATGTCTTCGAATCCCGACTTCCCTTGTCTCTTCTCACGCCTAACGCTGGGTCGCCAATCGTGGACGAGACCCTCTGCTTCCGCTAAAACAGCTAAGGTAAGAGACGGCTGTTACACAGGCTAATTCTGACTGTCGGAATGTCCCTGCCAGGCCAATTCATATCCCTGTCAGGCCAATTCAAGGGCCTGTCCCGGCAATTCAACTTGTCCCAGGTGCCAATTTAAACCCTTCTACCGAGCAATTTAGACCAATTGCAGGGTCTGTCCCCAAACTCTCAGGCACGCATTCAGAATCGCGGGAGTTGAAGGAACTTTACGAAACAAGGGGAGCACTTACAAATATATGGGACAGGAAGAGGCAGGAGCCCCACACGCCTTGTTACCGTACTCCGTACTCATTCACCCATGCATTCATTGTGTGTGTGTGTGTGTGAAAATTTACCATCACCCGAACCGACCAGAACCAAAGATGTGTCTGCAAGGCAAGTCGCTCACAATTTTAACACCCGGTCTATTCATTCATTCATTCCTTCGATCAGACAAGCAGACATATCCACACGCCTCGTCTTGAACTGTGCTTCAGTCCTGCTAAGGGCCCCCGGCACTCGACCAGACTACATGTGTTCAAAAAGATACCACTACCCGAACCGAACCAAACCAGGGGCATGTTAACCACACCTTTGATTCGTCCATTTATTCATACATCCAATCATCCACGCAGACAAAGAATTGTAAGCACACACGCCTGCCCTGCAGTAGTGTGGCCCGGCACAATGTAGCTGTAGTAGCTGGTACACAGTATGGCTCTATAAATACACGCATAGCACGACCACCAGCATCTCGAGAGGCCTTTTCAGCGGCCAGCTACTACATTTGGTATCGAGCCGTACTGTGTACCAGCTACTACAGTAGCACCCCTAGGAATCAAAAGCACTCGAAAGGAGGCGTGCAAGTTGTCGTGGGATCGAAACTAATACGCACATGAGGCACTTGTAAGCGGTCCTCTTGCAAAGTTTTTCTGTAAAAGTCATGTGCTTTTGGATGCCAGCCCCAGCCAATCCTGCCAACTTGACAGCCAATTCGACACCCTGTCAGGCTAATTCGATACCCTGTCAGGCCAATTTGACACCCCGAACAGGTCAATTCGATACCCTGTCAGGCTAATTCAATACCCTGTTAGGCCAATTCGGCACCCGGACAGGCCAATTCGACACCCGGACAGGCCAATTCAGGCCCAGCACAGCCCAATTCCGAGGCTCCACAGCGCAATTCGAATACCTCCGGCGGGTCCGCCAGAACAATTCCAGACCTCGGCAGAGCAATTCTTTTGTCAGGAATAAAATCCAGGCTAATTCTGCGACAGAGCTCTTCCCTAATTCCAGCCCGAATCCTACCCTCCTAACTCACCCCCCCACTCCTCTCCCTCCTCTTCCTCCTCTTCCCTATCCCTCCTCTCATTCCTCTTCCTCCTCTACCAATACCTCCTCTCCCTCGTCTTACTGTGATACATTGCTCATTAATCTTAGAAATGCGCAGCCCAGTTTAATTGCTCAACCCCGTACACAAATCTTCCTGCAATTCTCGAATACAAAGTTCATTATTCCTACTTACTTATAATGTTTATTCAATACTGGTTCTTCACTTTCCCCGTATTTAGGGTGTCACATCCCATATGTCTGGACGATTTGCGTCATAGGTACTTTTGTAACCGCCTTATGCTCGGCCACCTCTTCAAGCTGCACATCTTCCGGACATCTGCGCTTTGCATTTTAACATTTTTTCACAAATATGCAATAATACCGCACCAAGGCCAGGATCACAGCGCGTCGATTTACGACGCCCTTGCCGGATTGCGCAAAGAGTAATTGTGTCTCAGCCCGAGCATGCTCGTCCATTTCATCCAATATGTAGGTTCTTGCCCACCTTTTAGGTGGGCAATCCAAAATATGCAAAGGCTGTTGTAATAAATTGTGCGGCTAGGTTCCAAGCGATGGTAAGGATCAACGGACCCGCACTCTTCCGCTCACAGGAAGCGAAAAAGAATTTATATTTATATTCAAAATGAAACAGATCGGTGCGTGCAGGGGCCTTTAGGACGCCTGTACGGCAGTCAGGGTTGGCCCGATGGACTGGCCTACGAAGCAGTAACTGAAAATGGCTCCGTATGACACATGGACGTATGTCAGGGTCAGCCATGGCGGTGAAGAACCAGTGTATTTTTTTCCCGTAATATATTACGATTCCGTAATAAAATGGCATATTTGCGTTCTGCGCTCCGTCATAGACCATGGTAAAGGCCTGGTACGGTCGTTACGGAGCCGGGGCGGGCCGAAGGCCCCCAGAGACGTTCTACTTTAGTATAAATAAGTTATAAATGAGCGATGGGGCCCAAGAAATTTACTATAGCTGGTCAGGGTAGCGTCAAAGCATTCCTGATCATCGTCCTAAGCCGGTCCCGGCCACAGCGGCAGGGCGCGAGCGCACCGCAGCTGCAAAGCGCGCCCGCGAGCCTGCAACGGTACTGGAGAAAAGGAAGCGCGACCCGCAAGGTGCAGGCAGTGGTGCCGGTGCTGCCGGTGCTGAACGCATGTCGCAACGGACGGGAACAGCTGAGACTCTAATGAAATATTTATTAAATATGTGCTGGTGTATCAGGTACCCTGTGTGGGCAGGGAGGGGGCAAGCCCCCCCAGAAAAAAAATTCTGGCAGTAATAAACGTATTGGACTGATGGCATATTTATTACGGAACTCGTAACAGATTCAGGATCGGCCTCCACGAAAAAAAAACACTGTGAATAACTGAACATAAGACCCCAGGTGCCCAAATCGGTTTTATTAGGTCGATGCGGCTGATCGAGAAACGGCCCGACCAAATCCTGAATTAATACGTACACAACTCGCTCATAGCAGCTACAGCTGTATTGTGGCTCCACGAGGAAGGAAGACAAACGGGAGAAAAGGAGGTAAAATGAGGGCGACGAAAGCCACTGCCGACTTAGGTGCTTTGCCTGACCCATGACACTTAACTACTCTTTCGACATGTCTGCTAGTGCAGTTTCCTGCTGAGCAGGAAGCGGGACGGCATCCGCGCGAAACCTCGCCAATGCCAAGTCGCTGAAACCAAAAGACAGGTGCGCCAACTCTGATTCCCCAGATGAAGCGCGTAGGTGCGAAAGGTTGGCGCGCAAAGGTGCGTGGAAAAGGGAACCATATTCAGCCAGCCGCCTGGTCAGGCCACCGCGTGTCATCAGCTATGGACAGTCGAGGTGTCGCCTGGTGTGTTGGCACAAGTGGTTAACAGCTACACCAACATACTACACCAACACACATTGCAAACTCAGACCGTGCTGACCCTGAGGGTTTCTCTTTGTTGGTCTGGGTCGGGGGCTTTTCGAGGGAGAAGGCTCGCCTCGCCACAGGTTGGGCCAGGCAGCTTCAGTGAGAGGTTTTTTGAGAGGTCGTTGCTGTAGGGCTTGGGAGGAGTGGCAGGCGAACGGGGTGGCTGTAGCGCTGTGTGAGTTGTGCCTCGAGTGGTGCTGCCTCGAGGCGAGCGGCCGTTGTATCAGACATAGTACAGAGATACAGTCACACCATTAATATGAGTTCCTTACCGTTCTCACGTGCTTTGGAAAATTTGATGTGAATTTGAAGTTCAACGCACAAATTAAGGTGAAGGTTGTGCCTTACGCGCCGTTGGGATCCAAGTCGACGACCGTTGAGCAGTAGCCGCGCATAGCCAGCTGCGATTACGATTATACATTGATATTCAACGCTTATGGAATGGAAAATCCTGAAACCCGCTTATTACGGGTTAAGAATGCACGTTTAGGAAACATATGTTTGAGTATATTAAGATTAAAAATGCTTGATTTTACCTGCATCAAGCGTTTGTGACCAAAGCCCACCATTGGTGGTCGGCCACCGAGTACGTCTCTGAAACCTGCTCGTCGGGGCGTACAACTTGCGGTACATTTAAGGATAGCACTTCCTAGAAAATCTCAGAAAGAATCTACTGAATAAAACTTGTTGGACTGGCTCGGGTCGCCTCCACGGTAAGTCGGTCTATTGCTCTCAGCACTTCCTCCGGTAGTGCTTTCCTTAAGCAGGAGGCTGGAACTATAGCGAGGAGGCGCGCCACATGCCTTGCAACTCTAAAACTGTTTTTCCATGTGCTATTTTGCGAAAATGGTCACCTGAGTAAAAAATCTGATTTCAATGCCCTTGTAGAGCCTCCTCTGGCTAGGAGCCGCTTGGAGTGTCTCGGAGTCCACCGACTCGCGAGTTTCAACAGTGGAAGCCAAAGCTTCAATACCGACATCTTCATCATTATCGTTATCGTCACTATCTTCATGGTCATGTTACCAAGGACGCTGGCAGTCCCCGTCGCCCGAAAGGAACGCGCGCTTCTGTCACCGTCGAACCCTCTGCACCGACAACAGCTGCCGCTGTTCTCCTGCCTCGCAACCGCGGCAATGCTCCGCCTGATTCCCTACCTACTGCTGCTGTTGCTGGCGCTGCCCGGTGGCACCCTCGCACAGACTGTCCGGGGCTGCGGCTCAAGTGCCTTGATCTATCGCAACGGGGTCCCTACAAATTCGATCGATGTGATGTTCCGAGATTCCCAGACAGGGGCATCTGCTGGTTGGGGTTATATTGCTATGAACTTAAGCGCATTGACTCTACCGGAGCCCATCGCGACCGACCAAACGGTACCCGGAACTATAAATATCGCACTGAAACTGGAGGCATTTGTCGGAAGCATTCAGTTTAACGTTTTCATCCAGTCCCAGTTTCTTACTGCTTTTCCCCCCGGCAGCAGTAGTTGTGCTGGTGAACCTGGGGGCTACGCTTCATTCCCCCTTGAAATGCCGCAAAATGTGGTATTCGCCTCAACGCTGGACTACAATGGACTCTTCACCGGCATTCTGGCAAATCCGATATTCGGATTCCCGCAATGTCAGCCAATTGTACTGTACCTCCTTATGAAGTTCACAGACAAAAATAATTCGTCTCGTTCCGCCTACCTGGCCACGGACTGGGTCTCAGCTGGCAATGTCTCTGACCCGGTGTGTCCCAACTCACCTACGTCCTGGGGCTATACTAAGGCGGAGTTCGGCATCTGCTACTGCCCGCCATCCCCACCATTCCTACCACCATCACCCAACCCCCCAATGCCGCCCTCACCTTCGCCACCTTCACCAAGCCCTCCATCACCCTTGCCACCTAGGCCGCCATCCCCATTACCACCACCACCTCCACCACCACCGCCACCAAAACTGTCACCACCACCACCGTCCCCCTCCCCGCCACCACCTTTGCCGCCACCCTCTCCACCTCCACAACCCCCGCCTTCGGTCCCCTCCCCCCCTCCCCC